GTGTTCCAGCCTGGGTTGCTGGCTGTAGCAGCGCCATAGCGCTGCACAGCAAAAACGCATAAAAACTGCAAATTTTCTTTTTCGCGAACTTAGTACATAATCCATTTTTATGCGTTTTTGCATAACATATTCTAGCTACTGTGTTTCCGAGCGATCTCATTACAGCATGAAATACTGCAAGAACGCATGATCGCTCGAACCCGCCCAGTGCACGTTCTCAGTGATTGGTTTATTTATTTATGCAGCTTTCCTGTGAATAAGCTGCTAATATATTTGCCATCAAGTAACTACTCCTCGTCCAGCATCGCTGTTGGGAATAGACATGAAGGTTTCGAGCTTTCTCAGAATTACAAGTCCACAGAAAGCATAAAATCCTAGTCTGTGGATTTGCTGCTGACTGGCCTGGAAATCAGCGAGGTTCCAAAAGACACAATTCCGCTTGGAGCAAGGTGCGACATCAAGATAAGTCGCACAGACCAGTACTGCCCTCATATGCAGTAAATTTTCCATTATTCAGCCAGGAATTTGTCCGAAACCTCAAATAGTTTTCCATCACAAAATTTTTCTTTCGTGTTTAACTCGCTCAGAATTCTAACACAGTTTACAACAGTTTGATGCTTCCGAACCTTACGCTAGAAACAATACTGACCTTGAGTGGTTCGAGCAAACTAAGTAGGTGCTGAATGTACGACTCGTCGCCGGTCTTCAGTGCCTTTTCAAATTTACTGCTGGGTCGGATGAACAAGCTCTTTAGTAAATCCAAATCGACTATCAACTGCCACTGAGAATCAGCAAAGAAATCGTTTACAAATGCGCCCAGGACACCATCTGTATCCTTCTTCCCACCCAGCAGTACCTCAGCTTCCAGAAAATCATCATTTACAACTAACACAGGAAAGAAAATAAACAGCAGGTAAGCAGTTCCCAGAATCTGCATTGAAGAGCTTGAATTTCGTTGTCTTCTGTGATATCAACGGCTATAAAACAGTTTGCTCGATTTTCATTACCTTCAAAAACAAGCTGATAAAAGCAATAAGAAACTGTCGGTGGACTACAGAGAGTCACATACGCCCTCTTATATCATGAGTAATGATCTGTGAGTGGTATGGGTCGTTTTGACATACAGAGCGTGAAAGATATGAAAACAGTGCAGTGAATAGTCAGTTCTTTTACAATTCGTTCATTCGTTTCTTAGCAAATTGGTAATGTTGCTGCTGGATTTACCACCAATTGAGTTAATTTTACGAATGCCTCTACCTCTTAAAAAAAGCGGAT